CCACCAGACAGTTAATCCAGTCTGACGTTAAGGATAAGATACCGCTCGTGGCCACTTCAATGTCTGTTTATCAATTTACGTACTCGCGTGGAGCAAAGCACATCGACTATACGCAACGTTAAGTCCACAAACGTATTCTGGAACACTGTCCAACTTGGTTAGCCAGAGGAGAAAGGAATATCCTCGAACACCTTGTCATCTCCGGGCATCGAGCACCCCCGCATGAATGCTTCACAGTGCTACACAGAGTTCCTCAATATCGTACAAAGGGGCTTCGCATACGCAGTCTGTACATAGCTGGATCATTAGCTATTCTGGATCTGAAACCGGACCTCTGCATTCAAAAGCGATACATAAATACACTCGCCTTACCTTGGCCAGAGTAAAGTTCTTACTATAATTTTGCTTCTTTTTATTATGAAAGTTTACTATTATGATTTCTATTACTACTCTTATTTTATTAAAATTATTATTCCCATCATCCATATTTTATTACCACTCTATTACTGCTTATTAATAACATTGCTTTTTCATACAGATTTTATATAAAAACACTGTATCGCCTTTCCACTGGCTCATGTTCATTCTACACGAACTTACTGATTAGTCATTATCTCACACTTATTACGTCATGCCGACTTCTGCCTCTTTTCTAACTTACAATTAGTCATCCCTTCCTACACCTTACATTACGTAATACATTTTTCGAGGACAAAGTTTACTAGTATCTGATTGGTCTAAAGACTTCTTTGTTAAATATAATTACGACTGTACTACTCATGAAAATGAATCGTGAAAAGAAAATTTTCTTTGCTGTTTACGCCCTTTTCTTAGAACTCAATATGGGAATATTTCGTCAATTATACAAAGTCCTTAAATAATAAAATATACCACAATTCTTATCACCCTGAAAGTAACGGACCTAAAATAGCTCAGTGGAAGGTTTCAGTAGTATATGCTAGTGTGAAAAAAAGTACCTACTATTGTTAGCTGCACCTTATAAACCCAAAATTTCGCAGAAAATAATACAGGGACTTAATTTAACAGCATCCTGAGTGCCACTTCATACAGGGAACAAGTATGATGCAAGTATAACTGTAATCTAGTTTATAAAAAGCAATCTATTTCCATCAAGTCCACGGAGCTAAACTGTTATAACCAGTTGTTAGTCTCTCACTGCCTTGATAACCTGTCTCTTAGCCTTAATGGATTATATCATCTTTTACAATATTGTAAATATTGATTTCTTTTCACTCCCATTTAGTTATGTCATCACTGACTAGACATCACGTTCTGTGTGCCCGACGTCTAGTTAAACCAGCTAAACTCACAATATTTTTTGCATGTTTCCTTTGTTTATTAACAATTTACCATTGACTTACGTAATCTAGTAGTCTATGTACCTCAATATCTTTTTGCTATCCTTTATTCTCGAGAAACTTCCATCGCATTACATATATAATTATAGCAGTATTCTTAAATATTTTAATAACTTAGCATTTTGATTTGTCTGTACTGTTTTTAATTACTGTCCTATATTTGCTTCTTTAATGAAGTATTTTAAAAGTTTTGTAAAAAAGACCCACTAAATTCCATTCTTCAGGCTGTATGCAGTTGACAATATACTGATGAAATCAACTAGTTCCAAGTTTGGTCACGCACTAAGTTCATTTAGAGAATCATTGAAGGGATCTTATCCCTGCAAATTAACACTTGAGAATTGATCCAGTATTCGCCAGTGATTGACTATAGGATGAAATTACCTGAAGTTCTAATGGGAAGTCTTGCCTAGCAGGATCTACCAAGCTGGGTGTGAAGAAATCGGCTTACTGAGGTACTATATGTCACAAATAGAAAACAGTCAAAACTGATGAGCCATTGGATTATGTCCTAGTGACTTATTGGTCAGCGAACTTGCCTCGTAACCTGATTCATGGCTGCGTTCTGTCGAAGAGTCTCAGACTAAGATGAAACAGCTGGTTTTCACTGGTTCCCTAACTAAAGTCGGTTCGTGATCAAACTTAGAATCATGTAAATCCCTGCAAGCCAACACTTGGAAATCAAATAGATCCATCGTATTCTGTTCCGCATGTTGTTATTATTTTATTCGAACTTATCAGTAAGATCTATTCTAAATTCATTTTTACATGGCAGCGATTTTAAAGTTACTTAAACTACAGAATGGCTAGTGAGAGTTGAAACCTGTTGATTAAGCGTTGTTTTCTAAATCTACTACCATTTTAAATTCTGCACTAGCGTAAACTACTTCCCACCATTGCAATAGGCATATCTGTTACTCTTATGTATTGAAAACACAAACGTGAAAAGAATAGAATTTTTTTAAGTTCCCATGGATGCCTGAACTAAGCTCAAATTTTAAGCGGTTTTATAGAGGTATTAGAACTACACAGAGAGATGTAAATAAAATCACCGTTGTTTTCTCTTATGACAATTTGGAAATACAAAAGGTGCCAAAATGAAGAATGAGATTTTTACTTCTTGTTAAAATGTACTCCGAATCAGTGCTAAGTAATTCCATAAAATCAATAGTCTACAGTGTTATCAACTCTCAACTTTGGCTGCTAACTTTCACTGTTGAGCTGAACTGGCTAAGCTAATACTCTGGTCCCCTGATGAAACCGTTGGGCTACCTTTGGTTGTTTGTATACGATCCATAGTTAGATGTCCAAGCATCTAGGTTTCACATTGTCGACTATGAAATATGCATCATACTTTAGAAGGCCAATTTACTGTTTTCACTTGACTTACAGACTGTTTCTCATCTGGTACAAATAAGTACTATTGGGTTGAAGAACGGCATACGTGCACCACAGTCACTATCGTTATTATTCACTCTCCTCCATCAGAAAGCTCCTTATATAATAAATAACTTTAGTAAGAGTAATAGTGATAATAAAGAGTAGCATAAATGCCACAATATCCAACCATAAGAAAAACAAGAGAATTTTCACTAAGAAGAGAAATTTTACTTTTGGACAAAATATGTTTTGTATTCTTGAATACACAGCAGAAAAAGAAAGGAAATCCCTGAACTACTTTAAAATGAATAAAGGAGTAACATAGTATAAATAGGAATTAACAATGGAAAGTAGTCAGGAATTAAAGAGAATTACAATGGCTTGGTAATAACGGTGTCATATAGAAAGAAAAATGGTCATAATGGTCACGGTACAGACAGAAACTGAATGTAATTTTCTTTGGATAAATATAACTGGCTTAAATTTTTACATCTTTAATGCTTTAACTGTTCATCGATGTATTCATCTCACTCACTCTGAGGGAATTTCTCAAACGCCAATGGATTCCTTGAGTTTAGCAGGTGTTCTTTTAATGGAATAAATGTACCTGTCCTCTTTCCCTCTGCTAACCAAGATAGGTAGTGTTCACTAAATCATGGTACGGTTGATTTACTTAGATCTACAGGAGAAAGTAAACTGGTTTATACACGTTGATACAGTAGCCCAACCGTCAGCTTGCCTTTCACGCATTGATTGAATAATTAGTTGCATAGAAAAATTATTCGAAGGCTATCAGTAAAGTATTGTCTATATAGAAATTTTGATAACTTCTTCCTGAAAATATTATACGCTTCAACGTCACCTCTGAATTCAATTTGTTTTTCTGGCTCTTCGGAACACTAAATGCTTACTATAATGCTGAATTAAATCTCACTATTCCGAAATAACTCGAACATTCTATAGTGAGTAAATTCTGAATCTGTTCTAAAATGGTTTCTTTGAGCACACAGACTAGAACTCAGCGATGGTTTTCAGCATGACTGGTACTAATTCAGCTGTTCTTTTTCAGGAGTAGATCAGAACCTACTGGGTTTGTTTATCAGCATTGTTCCAGCCCTCACAGGACATATTAAGCCCTGACTAGCATTGCTTCAGACCGAAAAAACTTAATCCATGGATATGGTTCTTGTGGTGAAGTCCAACAATAGCGTCCCAGGAGTGAGAACGCTCCAGTGACCTCGAACGCATGCTAGTCGTTAAATAAATGTTTGACATACCTGTAGATACTTCAGATGTTTTCAGTTTTGCTTTAAAAGATACGCACCCAACTAGGCTCGGACGTCGACGTTTTGATCTCATTGGTTGAGGAAGCTCACCATTATTCTAGCGCGAATAATTGTGCGTACTGGTAAGTGACACTGAATTAATTGTCTTCTAGGAACTTTCTTTGAAAAGTTGAGACTGTCTTTAACGATTGGTTGTTATTGGTGTCGAAAGTTTAACTTTGCCTGAATATCTTGTTACTGTCTAATTATCGCAATAGGGATATATACATCACAGAGTGAACCATTCGAATGATTCTGTCGACCCTGTCACCCGTACTCATGATAATTCCACCGAAGGTTTCTGAAGAAGGCGTTCGTTGTTATTTTCAGTTATTTTCAGTCATTTGGATGAATGTATGCATATAAATTGGTTTAAATTAAAAACTGAAACTCCTCCTTATAATTGGAACATTTTTTATCTCATATTACAGAAAAGTACCCTGTTTGATTTTTTTCATGCTTATTTATGCGAAAATACGTTAAATTTTATGCAAAAATCATCCTTTTTTCTGACTGGTCGGTTCAAGGTCACCTGTGCGTTCGTTCCTTGGGACTCTATTGTAGAACTTCGCCCTTGTTTTAATTTTCTTCACAGGCTGGGATTAATTTAAATAATTTATAATGAATCAATCTGACTCGGCGCTACGGCCTGGAAACCTATAATAGTTACATATATGTCCTAAGAAAACTTCCCAATTTCTCACAGGAGTCCTCATAGTCGGCTTAAACAAATTTCTGTACATAAATTCGTTCGGGTCATCCAATTCCTACATTAGGTAGTTTCGTTTTGGGCTACTATATAATTTAGAGTCACCAATCTGTGTTTACTTTATCCATGAAAAGCTGGTTATTTTAGTCTTGAAATCAAGCCAATAACATTCACGCGCTTAAGGTCGTTCCTTTTTCATTCTTATTGGTGCCTTCTATTTTTCTACCAATCAAATCATCATACATATGACCTTGTCATACGTTTTGCCAATCATCCATTATTTGCTAGGACCAGACATCTAATATGTTTCATTGTTCATCAATATCGATCATAAGTAGTCACGTTGATGCCAGAAAGTTCACCTGTAAGGTCTTCCAGTTAATTAATATCATTTTCCACAGGTTAATAAACCACTTTTACTTAAAGGTGGAACAATTGTAAACCATGATGTGACTTTCAAAGCAGATGTATTGATTAATGATGGAATTATACAGTAATAAAAATGCTTTCAATTATTTGTTAACTTCCAGGGCTATTGGCGAAGAGCTTGCTTGTCCAAGTGACACTAGAGTTGTCGATGTAAGTGATAAATTACTGTTGCCCGGTAGGTATTCGAGGTCATTTTTACTTATATTGATAGGTGGAGTTGACTTGGATTGTCATATCGGTGTAGCAGATTCATTCGATCCTGTGGCTGATACTTATGTGTCTGCTGGAAAGGCAGCTCTTCTTGGTGGTACAACTACAATCGGTATGTAAATGTCTGTATTAATGCCAGTATTCTATATTCTTTTTTATAAAGTATTATAATACATTAGTGATAAACCAAAAAATGTATTACGTTAACAATATTAGTTTTACTTTAGGTTCGAGTTAGTATTCAAGCTAACAGTTGCAACCCATGGGTTGGATTTTAAGTCATTAAGACCAGGTAACAACTTGAGGCTTAGAATAGTAGCTAATTATCAATACTTGTAACGCTGTTGTGAAACAGACTCATTATCTTAAGACCTGGCATCATAGACCACTGATCTTAATTGTTATGGCTAATCTGCAGGATAAATGCAGGAGGAGAATATGTCAAGTAGCTTCTCCAACCATCGGCTGCTGTCACTTGAGTGATAGCGACTAGGTAATTTCTAATATTGTATACGTCTACGGCTAACACTCAGTGAATTCATAGATCCATATCACCACTGTCCTCATCCTTTCCCCATGTTGACTTACAGCATATAAAAGCATGTTTCAGAACCTTCTGACGATGTGATTTTCAACTTATTCTTCTGGTTCACGTCTTGTCTAAGACGAAGTCTGACGTCCATACTGCTCATCTAATATTCCACTTAGATCCGTTAACAGTAGCACCACATCACTTTTTCTATAACAGACTGAATATGATGTTATACTTCCCCAGCTAGAGTATTGCTGTCATATTCAAATCCGTGTAATTATTTCCTCTCTTAATTTACATTAAAAGGGAACAGACGTGTGTTCTCATCCAAAGCCTCATAAATGCATTTGCATGAACCTTTGAACCGAGCTTGGTATCGACCTTATCCAGGAGGAACAGTATTTCCCCTTATGTTTCAAGGTGGTGCTACCAGAAAACAATAGTTATCCACGAAAAGTTGTAGACGATAACTACCGTTACTTATTGGTTGGTATTAAACACTAGAAACCTTTCAGTATACTTTAGGGCCTGGTTCAACTTCCTTGTGTATGAAAATAGCCTTTTAATGTGAGTGTTTTACTTTTGGCTGCGAACAAGACACCTTTTGATTAAACTCATCCCTTACTTCGTCCAGAATGCAGTCATTTAGTGCATGGGCGGAGATTATAAAAAAGCCTCGACGAGTATCACCATTTTATCCTTATCCATGCCATTCCGTTCGGTTGGACAGCACACTACTGTCTACTAGCATCTTATCGAGCAGTGAGTTTTCCTCTCTTGAGTCCCTTACTATCCGTAAATCAGCAAGCCCACGAAAACCAGCCGAACAATCTTCTGACACCTGTAGAGTAAACTTCTCGAATTCACAATGTTTGCCGAGTTAAGTAAACTTGGTATTTTATGCATGTATCAGCGACACCAGAGGTGTGGTTAATGAGACTTGTTGTCCAATTTGATACTAAATCCGGATGTTGTAAGCTCTAATATGAAGTCGGGAGTGTGGTTTTAAAAGATTACGAATGGTGTTTGTCTAACCCAAATTGCTGGCAGTGGTCACAGTTGGAACCGAGACGTTCTAACCAGCGTCTAACACATTCCATATTTCTTAACCTGAAGGCGATATTCGACTCCATCGACTGAGAGATGTTGTGGTAATACCTTGTTGTGAAAAATGGGCTGAGGAATTACGTCATACTGGTCAAGGCACTTTGTCTAAACTCATGTAGCTGTGTCAGAGCTTATGCAGAATTATCATCTGAAGTGATGACAACCAGTGGTGTCCGTTAGCAATATATAGTCCCCATTTTTGTTTGATTTCACCACACATTTACTAATGCATGCGACGCTAATCGACTTTAGTGACTTAGAGATGCTATGAACTAATAGCTGTAGACCATTGGTAATGAGGTTAGGAGTCGTTCTCAATAGTGCAGATGTATTCATTTTGTGATCTCCCATATCCATTGAACCCTCATTTTTTCATGTTTTTGTTCTTTCTCCGGCACATCTGTGCTATATTGAGTGCAGCTTCTTGAACTGCTTCACTTCTGTGCAAAGTTCTACTTTAAAACAGTTCAATATCATCTAATAAATCAATCCAACCAATACTAGTCTGATGTGCTGAGATACTGTCTGTGACAGAACAATCCCATCTGACGTCCGTCGTGTTAAACTAATTACCGTCTTCAGCTTCGCATTCTAACCTGCAACTTGACGTACCTAAACTGTTTTCTAACAGTAAAGTACTGACCTCAGTAGCTTTCATTGTCCGGAATTAATATTACTCGAAGTCCACATGTCGGTTTTATACGAGTACACTGATAATCTGTAAGTCTTTAATGAACACTTCCTGAATGATAATTAGTTAGAACTCAGTTTTCTTTTGCAATAGGCCACAAGCCACACTTATATTCCGAAGAGTGATAACTACTCAGGCTATAGGAGGTAGGATAAAATTCAAACCTGGGATTCACTAACTGGAATTTAATCGTTTTTCAACTATTTCTTTCACAATAATTGTATGTAATAGTTTAACTCCTGCCTTTTTGGACTGAATAACCTAGTTAAAATTATCGTCTTAATAAATAGAACGATTTGTTGGGTTTTTTGTCCCTCTATTTGTTTGTATCCTCATTAAATTTAATAAACTGATTATATTTTAGTTTTCTTGGTGGTCACTTTGAGCTCGCCACTTTAAGAAATAATTCAAATATGTGGTGCTATTGCTTCATACAACTCATTTTCTATCCCGATATGCTCTTTTGTCTTCCTAGTAAACACAATCAATGCTCACCCTGATCGTTCGCTCATATCTACCTACGAGCAATTTCTATCTTCAATCCAAGGACACATAGGATGTGATTATAGTGTATGTTTTCAGCTGGCTAGTTTCTCACCAGAAACAGAAAAAGAACTTGTTACTTTAGTTCAATGTAAAGGAGTAGTACTATATTCTGTTCGTTTGGGATCAAAATTACTGCCTGTCAAAAATGATGAACAGTGTATCAATGAAGAAGAATTTTACAATCTCCTGAAGTCATGTCGACAACTAGGTGCGTTACCAATCCTTGAAGCTACTGTTTCAGTGTCATTATCACAAAAACTGTCCTCTGAACTACAAGACGATTGTCCTAATATTGGTCCTGAAGTGCATTCGTTAAATTCTCCTGAGCAAGCGGAAGCAAATACAATATTACAAGGTTCTTTATTCTCACAATATGCCGGATTTTGTTGTCCTCTATTAATTTCCAGAATTCATAGCGAAGCTGCTCTGCGATGTTTTATTGAACAACGTCGTATGTGTAGAGGCTTGCTCTATGGACAGACTAGTGTATCAGCCATTGCAGCTCCGCTTGTTGCAATAAATTCTAATGACTGTGCGAATGGTGTATTCACTAACTCAAAGGATTGGGCTACGGCTGCTAGCTATGTGAACTGTCCACCGTTAAGACCGGATGTTCAGCTCAGTCAGAGACTACTCACTCATCTCGTATCTGAAGACCTAGTATCTGTTGGTTCAGGTCATCGAGCTATAACTACTGCAGTGCGCGCAGCTTTCGGTTTGAAAAACCCTCTGAAAATACCTCATGGTATTGCAGCTTTAGGTTGTCGAATGATTGTTCTTTGGCATCATGGAGTGGAAAGTGGGTCTTTAGATCCTTGCACATTCGTTAAAGTAACCAGTACCAATCCTGCGCGGTTGATGAATCTGTATCCTCAGAAAGGTAGAATAGCAGTTGGTTCTGATGCCGACATTATTATTTGGTCGAATTCTTTTAAACAAGAAAATTTCAAAAACATTTTTCCTAACGATGTGCCCAACATATTTACTGTTACTACTTCAAGTTATCAATCAGGTCCAGAGATGGTTTTATTACGGGGTCGTATTGTGGTCGAAAATAATGAACTTTTAGATGATGCTTGTTGTGGTACTTTGCTTACTTCGCAACCTTTTTCCCAGTATGTTTATGGTCGGGTGAATGCTGTGGAAAAAAGTGTAAACTCTGAATATACACCACTGTCGCGTGAACCATATATGGGAAATGTAGCTACTGATGCCTCTGTTGATAATTCAGGAGATCACTCTAAAGAAGGTTACTATTTTCGAAAGGAATATTTTGACAATATGCCTAAAGGTTAGTCATATAATACACATTTAATAGATTTATTTTTTGTTCTATGTAATTTAATTTTATCTGTCAATTTTGTTTTCTCGTTGATTGATTGCGTTGAAGTGTTTGACCTCTGAAGACATGCTGTAGATCAAGTGGTCTAGTGTATAATGCTTTGACGTTTGGAAAGATGGGTACTGGGCTGAAGTTACAATGGGGACGCCACCACCCACTGGGGACTGCAGGCACATCCAACTGGCGAATCCCAAATAGGATGAAATGTGCATCCTGAATTCCATCGCTAGTTACTGTCCACCAAATAATTTACTTTTACTATCAATCAAGCCAACAGCAGAAGTTATTATAAAAGTATTTTCTCTCTGCTTATATCTTCTGATCGGACTGACTATTCTGGTTTTACTCTTCAGCTCTCTTCGCATTATCAATAGACGGAAAACAATCTAGTCCTTTAAGTCAGTTGGTATTTCTATTGAGTGACCGACTTCTCCCCTTGTGTTGCTTACTTTATTTGGAATCCCCTTGTCTCCCTGTTTTGTACAGAGAATAGAATATGAAGAGAGTTCTTCAACCAAGTTTAAATTAACTCAATCGCCTGTCACTTGTTTTCCTTATACAAAGTTCTGGGTCACAATTTTACATGCGTCTCTAATCCGGGTCAAAACGAGTGGTTTGAGCCAAGAATTTGATGTCCACTGATTGTTTTATGCAGTTAGTCACTGTACGAGTATAGTTATGCTACAAAATCGCTAGCGACAAGCTTTTGATTAGATATCTGACTATGGCGGCCGGAGTTCTTGCTGATCAGGCATAAATTAGCAGCTGTGTAGAGTTATAGATCCTAGTTTCGCCTCATTTCACAATGCATAAGAAACGAGAAAATGGGATATGTAAAGAACAACATAGCGGGATAGTTTACTATGTATTTCTAATAGTTGTTTGCTTACAATGGTGTTGTAATTTTAATAACCAAAGTTAGAACTTGTCATTCTGTTTAAAAAACCTGTACAAATACACTAATAATAAGTTGATTCATCCCATAACGCACAAAAGTTTCATGAAAATTAATAACATTAGAAACAGGTGCAGAATTGTTGATTAATGGAACTGCACACAATACTAATAACAGCCTTATATTGGAAATCCAATTCGCATAAACTCTTCTTGTCTTGCTTCCTGCTGGGTTTCCCTTCGGTTTTTGTGCTCTCTGTATAAATAACTAATTTCATCTATTTCCGCTGTATGGAAATTTATCAATCCTTCGTTTGTTTATGACCTACTGCGGACATCACAATGCATAGTACTCAATAATAGCACACACGAAAGGTAAATGCATATAAAGGTGGATGGAATGTCCGAAATTTCGATGATAAATAGTGAATACAGATAAAATAAGGCTCTGATCATTGAGTATTGATCAATGTAATCGGAGTGTATATATCTCATTTAATGACTAATTCTAGTGTTCTGAAACTTTATAGATTGGTGTAATGCTTCTGATGCGATCACTCATACCTTTCGTCGAGTCTAATCATTTTCCATCTAGAATTTTTTTTTATGAAGGTAAACAGTAACTAGACATATTTAACATGTACTCCGTGCATCCACGCGTTACTTAGCGCTTTAGTTAGTCGAACCAGTAGACCCTCACTGCTGTCCTTAAAGCACTCTGAGTATAAATAAGTAATGCTGCTCTTCTTCAGCTCATATTCAAAACAATATTTTCAACTTCAAAAATTGAAAGACTGGCATCTGCATTCTAATATGTATAATGTTGAAGCGTAAGTGAATTGGGTTTTCAGTCATATGGAATGTTCTAGGAGGTCCAGCCATCTGTTTTGAGATATTTTGAAGACTCATCTTCCTAAATGATAGTCTTTCTAAGAAATGTCTTTTCAGTTCAGTCTCATAAATTTAAATAACTTCCGTTCAGTGTAAATTCGAAATGTTTTTTGTGTCTTTCACCTTTGATATTCATTACTGATTATAGTGGCTATTAAAATTCATAGTTCAGTAAAGTTTGATCTGCACATTTGCTGTTTATTTTAACTGGGAGCCCGGATGATGAATCTTTCTGTGTCACTTTGGTGAGATGAGGTTGCAAAGAACCACTGCCTCGTACTAACACTTTAGAATGCAAGATGTTTAAATCTTCCTGTGTAATAGATGGTTTTTTAAATTATTATTTGTGAGATGTCCGTCTGTAAGAGAACTAGGTTACAATGACCTAAATAATATCTAGATATCTGGTAATAAATGTCAGGCTTCATATCTTCAAATAGTGATCAGCTAATTATGTACCTTGGGGATGTTACTGAAACACTTCAGATTTTGTCAGACACATATATACAGTTTTTTATTGTAATGATCAGTCATATGATATAAGTTGTCCTAATTATTTTAATGTTTCAATTTCTTTTACTGATTGTTATCCATGCATAATTGTTTCATGGAAAACTGAGATGTAATCTGGAGAACCTTGACTCAATACTTACAGTAAACATGGGCTCCAGAAGCTGATAGAATTTAACGACGTGTGAACCTGTTTTGGTCACCGGAAATCATGAGAATGCTGTCCCACTGTCATGTGAATCAAGTCAAAGGCTTGCAGGGTAGTCTTTTAGGAAATCCAACTGCTTCGGTCGTGGTAGTAATCTAGCCCTCGCACAAACTATGAGATAACATTTGTGTGGCACATTTCCTGGTGCCCATAATGTACTAAGTTTGTGATTTAATAATAATAAAATGTTTCAGGTTGTTGGTTTGCAGAGTTTTGATTGGTTGCTGGATTTCATCACGAGTTGACGTCGGTTCAAGAACCATTGGAAAACCTGGGAGTACTGGACAGATGTTTTGTCCCACTTTTGGGCTCTTCATCACTACGCACCCTCCGCGGTTCGAACCCCGGACTTTTGGGGTTTCTCTTTCATCGTTCTTTTTGGAATCTTTCTGATGATTCTTAGCTTGCATGACATTCTTTTGGCACAGTGATAAGTTGGAGCCAGTTGTATGCGGTATTTTTCTGCATAATTGCTGTCATTCATTTGTCTGGCTTTTATGTCAATTGATGTTGTGCTTTCGTTTTATGTTAAATAAGGCGGTCAGATAAGTAAGTCTGATTACTACCTTTCCGCCAAATGTTTTTGAGTAATGAAATTTACATAGTCTAGATGGTAAAGTCACATGATTACGAAATTTCAGCAGTAGATCAATACTATTTGGTTAATATCAAGCTCCATTAGAAATTTAGTCTCAGAGAAAATCACACGATAATACCTGTAGATGTAGTTATTTTCAGTATCTATTTGCCCCTCATACTGCCTTTTATAGATATTGTAGACATCCCTATAGTGATAAATACTTCTAACCATCACAATCCAAATCTTACTTCTACATTTTTGGAAATATATTCATATTTACATAAACTCATCACTTGCATGTAAATGTGTTCGCTTCTTTTCATCTTTAGAAGCACTACCACCTGGTCAAAGAAAAATACATACATCAGTGAAAACAGCTCAACCTCCTGGAGGTTCATCGAATGCATTTTGGATGAATGAATAAACAGCAGTGGATTTAAATTTAATCAATTCCTTTTTACTGTGAACTGTAACTGACTGCATTTCTCTTCGGCTTTCATTCACTGTCAGGTCTTAAATTCTCTCTCTTTGAATATCGAAATAATTTTTAGCATTCTGTAATGTCCATTTAATCATTTTATAATACACGAAAGTTATTTATTTTAAACTGTCTTCTACGAACTTATCCAGCAAATATGCAGAAGGAAATGGAGTAGGATTGGACACACGCGGCTGAGTGGCATCATACTCCAGTCCTTTAAATAGAACCATGACGGAATGCGACGAGTTGGTTGTCCAAGAGTGATATAGCAGAGATCATGTGAGGAGCCAAATAGCGATGAGCTGCCGAAGCGCTGTATTCCACTCAGAACCCAATTAAATAATAGTAATGGATGTAGTATTCGTTTATTGAAGAAGTTCCGAAAATAAAATTTTAGCATTAGTACTTTAGCCTAATCCATATAATTTGTGTGTTTACCTGGGGTTTACATGAGACCGATAAGGGGTAGGTGATAAGGCTTATGAGTAATGTATTCAGCAAAAGGTATAGTGAATGTACCTAAAATAAGTTTGCTTCTGTCTTTTGCCGATAAACACCTATAGTCTCTGTTTTCATTAATGCGTGAGACATTCATATCATCCGATAGTGACATTAAAGAACCCATAAAACATCTTAGTGGCAAACTGAAACTGGCCTATATCTGCCGACTCGTACTTAACACTACTCATAGAAGTATAAAACTTGGGCACTGTGGTAGAGTACAACTCCATTATGGATAAGATTTTATTTTGATAAATTACACAGTGTTGTATACTAATATTAACTGATAACTCCATATTAGTTTGTTTATTAGATATATCACACAATGAAACAGTATTATTTACTGGACATATATATATATATTAATATGACTTATGGTCTTCCTGTACGAAGACTTATCAATAAAAATCCAGTAAATAATACTGTTTCACTGTGTGATATATCTAATAAACAAACTAATATGTTATTACTTACTACCACAGTGCCCAAGTTTTACACATATATTGACTGATGACGTTTAAGGCACAAACTATTGCTCATAATCATACCAAGTTACACAACTTTTGGAATCAAAAAAGTTGTGTGAGTAACTTGATATGATTATGAGCAATAGTTTGTGCCTTAAACGTCGTCAGTTAATATTACTGTACAACACTGTGTGATTTATCAAAATAAAATCTTATCTATAATGGACTTAACATTACTATTGGATTTACAGATGGAATATATATTGTGTTAAGGTTTATATTATATATCGAAACTGGATATAGTGAAGCCCAAGGTGACTATAATGACTGAAATTTCCTCTCTTTCAAAACAAGTTTTTCTGTGTGTGCGAATTGGATAAGTTCTAGGTAAACATAAAGTATCACAACCAAGTGAATGAAGTACCGAGCGACCTCGCATAACAAGTCGAAATAGTCACATGATTAATCAGACCCTGGCCGTATTTTAGACGTTAATCCAGGACCAAACTCCATGTGAGTGAAATCAGCATGGAATTTCAGATTACCTCGTAAACAGAGTGGATGCTGAAAGAAGGACGAAATTAATGGTTGTACAAGATCATTTATCTTGAAATAAAGCAATATCCGTTAGATAAGTTCTGGACCTTTTTCATTAGATAATCTTCACCCTTTAATTTACTCAAATATACGGCACATCTGAGCACTTTTCCTTAATGACTAAATCTTTTTAAATAAATAAATAAATAATAGTATATTCTCATTTTGTACATGAGGGACGCCAGTTTACAGGCATCATCAATATGATAAATTACATATACGATTAGTAAACATATTTAATAATAGTTATTTAATAAAATACATTTTTTCCTACCTGTGTAGGACACACCAATTGTACAGGCATGGATAAGTATTATTTAAATTACATAAATTTGGTTCATGGTAAAATTATAAGGTTGCAGTCATTTTGTCTATGGGAACAATATGATAACTAGTCATTCAATGGAGCACATCAAGAAATATAGAAATATTGTCTTCGCATTAACAAAAAAAACCCAAGTATGTTTTGGATGGATTACAAATACTTGGGAAAAAAATAAAGCTTGAAGTAATTCCTCCATATAACTTTGGTGTGTACGGCATCGAGTCTTATTCTTGATGATAATTTAAAATAAGTAATCCACTTGTATACTTTTGTCAGCATTTTCTTCGTAACATCACAAGTGAATAGTACTCAAGGTAGACTAATAATAATGGTAGTTTATATTTTCTTATAAACGGGTGTTTTCAAGAAATGCAAGCTATTTTGCAGACAAGATCAGTTATATTATAAGTTACATTCGTGAAGTACTATAAATCAATACTTTTTTATTGGTATAAAGATATATTTCACAACTGTAATCCAGGTTGCGTCGTTGGTGAAGGCAATGCGCAATTCACGAGGGGATTGTAAGTTATGGGACCAATAATGTTTGCAGATCATTTGTCATTGTAAATGGGCAAATATCTACATTCTTCGTTCTCATTCAAAAAGTTAAATGGAAGCTGAAATGGTGAGAGACAAAAGAAGACAAATAACACCAACGCAATAGAAAGCAAGTGGAGTACTTAGGGGGTGATTAATGTGTATATATACATATATATTCTGTTTAGTAATTATAGTTATTTTGGTGCACTAACTAACTATTCCCGTGATGCTAACTTTTATATTGTGTGAGCTAATATTATTGTCCTGTGTAAAAATGTCTATCATGTACTTCCAATAATATAAAAATTTATAATTGTAGTTTGTTGTAACTACACGTTTAATGAACTTAAAATATCTATGTTGGACGAAAAAGTGGGTGGAGGATTCAGACGCAGAAGTGCACTGTCATCTTTGAGCAGTCTGGTGACTGAGGAGATGAACACTGCGAGTGTGTTTGCATCGCGCACATCAGCTGGTAGTCTATTCCAAATGACTGAAAACTTATTTAAGAAGAAATTATACCGCATGTGAGTCTGACAATGCTCTATAGCAGCTAGGTTGTTATGATTTCTAAGATTGTAACTGATGACAGCGGTAGGTTTAGTTATTGGCTCGGAGGAGTGCACGAGCAGATTAGTTAGCTTGTAGTAAAAAATCAGGTTTAGCTTAAGACGTTTTTTCCAGAGTGGTTCTAAACTTAGTCTGTCGCAACGTTCATAGTATTGGAGACCACTTTCTAAACCAAGAATTCTTAAGGTGAATTGCCGTTGCACTCCTTCTAACTTAAGCTTGTCATTTTGTCTGAGTCCGCTAAGAATAAACGGGCAGTGTTCTAAAATAGGTCGGACACATACTTTATATAATAAAACCCTAGTTTCACAACAAAAGAAATTGCGAGTTATGCATCCTAGGAGCCTTCGTGTTTTACGTCTGGCATAATCAGTTTGTTCAGAGAACGTTAAGTTACTAGAGTATCTGATACCGAGATCTACGACTGAGTTGAGCTTGGCTAGTTTACGCCCATTTATTTCAAGAGTTAGGTCAAGGTTACTGTTTCCGATACAAATCCAGCCGCATTTATCAATGTTGAACTTAAGACAGGATTCAGTACACCATGTTGCGAGACTACTTAGTTCAAGATGTATTTTATTCACCATATCGCTTAGTTCATGAGCGTGGCAGGAGTAAACGACTTTGAGGTCGTCAGCATATAGGAATGATTTACCTAAGGTGAAGCAGTTGCAAATGCTGTTAATGTATACTGTAAATAAAAGTGGACCTAGGACACTACCTTGCACAACCCCACTTGTGATCTGTCTGGGATGAGACAACACAGATCCAACCTTGGTTATTTGTACCCTATTGCTTAGAAAGGATTTTAACCAGCTCAGTAATGGATTGCGAATCCCACATGAATACAGCTTCTCAAAGAGAATACTGTGAGATACCATGTCAAATGCCCTAGATATATCGAAGTAGAGAACAAAAACTAGCTTACGTGCTTCGCGACTACTAGTGATGCAGTTGAAAAAGTCGAAGTGGCAAGTAACGCAAGACCTATTTTTGAGAAATCCGTGTTGAGACCTTGTAACAAGATCTTCCTTAAGTAGATAGTCTGACAACTGATCTTTGACAACTTTCTCCATGACTCGCGAGACAACTGGGGTTATATTTATAGGTCTGTAATTGCGGACGTTTGCCTTATCACCGGATTTATAGTGTGGAATTATGAAGCTAGTTTTCCACTCATTAGGGTAAGTGCCAGTGTCCATAGATATCGAGAAGAATTTAAGAAGTAGTAGGGGTATATCACACCCACTGTTTTTGAAAATTATGGAAGCAAGGCCATCTGGTCCCGTGCTAGTGGAAGGTTTCAGGCTTTTAACTGCTTGTTCTATTAATTGGTCGGTGAACACTATGCTTCCGAGGAAAGAGCTAGTAAGGGGGCCGGTTTCACCAGGAATGCGCGTTTCTAAACCGAAGTTTGCAAACCATTCACTGAATATTTCACAGATAGTGGCAGGCTCATTGTAGATAACTTTGTCATGAAGTAAATAGGGGATGTCCCTCGTCGACTGCATTCGTTTTTTAAGAAGTGTTGTTAAGTTATAAACTTTGGAGGTGCTTTCAAGTGCCCTTATTTCTTCGTCGAGGTCCTTTTGAGAGCGTTGGCGCTTGATAGATTCAAGAGACTCAATTTGTCGGCAGTACTTACAGGGTAGGTAGAGTACTGAAGTATTGAGTACATAGGTACACTGCGTTCAGTAAGGCGTAGCTAATCAACAGCATCACCAGTACTTTACAATTGATGAGCCCGTAACTCACTATTCACCACATCTTAAGCCAAACTTTCCCATAGTTTAATTTTTATTGGTGGTTGCTTTGGCATAAGAGGTTATTTTTCATTTGGAGTTTTCTGCTATTTCATACTGGTTATTTTATATCATATACCTTATCTAACCATGGCTGAAAACGACTCTCCTGCGCAGATGGCAGTTACGCTTCAACTCCCTACCTTTTGGGTGAATCGACCGTCTTCATGGTTCTCACATGTTGAAGCTCAGTTTTCTTTGCGGTGTATGCATTCCCAAGAAACTAAGACCAACTCAGCAGTTGTCAGTCTACTTGAACACATCATGGAAGACATTTCAGATACATTTGATGACCCTTTCCCAGACCTTTACGATCGTCTGAAAGCGGCTCTAATCAAGACAGTAGTACTTACCGACAAGCAAAAAGTGCAAGATCTCGTCAGAGACGTCGAACTTGGAGCCTGTAAGCCTTCGTCAGATGAAACAGCTAGTTGCTGATTTCAAAATTGTCGAAACCTTCCTAAAACAACTGTGCTTGCAAAGGCTACTTCGGACATCGCAAAAAATTCTTGCATTCTTCTACCAGTCAGAGGCAGCTGACAAAGCCATCGAGGCGACCAGACCATTCACAAACATTTCTGAGACTTTATCCACTAATTCTCCATGTCAGAATGACCTCCATTCAATGAGTGGCTCACCCAGATTCTACATCAAACATGTATCAAGAGCTGTGTAGTCTTAGGAAGGAACTTAGAGCTAAAAGTCCTTCGCAAGATCTCGCATTTCGCTGCCGCAGAAAATCTTCCTCCCGTAACAGAAATAGACGGTTTAAATCGAGGACGTCTCGACCTAGCATTTGTTGGTATCATATACGTTATAGTACCAATGCACAAAGGTGTACTCATCCCTGTAACTTCGACAGTAGCCAGTCGGGAAGAGTGCTATCTGGCACATAATGGCAACTGATGTCGCTAGCGAACCACTCCCTCGTCGTTTATTCCATGTTACAATACGTTACTCTAGGATACACTTCCTTGTTGATACTGGGGAAGAAGCTAGTGTGGCAGTAGATAATCCCACAGAATTCATCACTGAACATTAGATGCTGACCTTCACTGTTTAAGTCGACTTGTTTAACTGAAAGCTCGCAGTCAAGCATCCAAGCTGTTTGGCACGCCTTCGTGTTACGTTAGAGAAAACCAGAGAGCTATGGAGAAAATAGGTGGGCCAGTAGTGGTAATATGATGATTAACATCAGATGTCACACAAGAATCACTACTATTAGGCTTGAAATTAATGGCAAAATTTTGGATTATCCAAAATAGTAGTGATTCTTGTGTGACATCTGATGTTAATCATCATATTACCACTACTGGCCCACCTATTTTCTCCATAGCTCTCTGGTTTTCTCTAGAAAAGCGACAAGCTGTTAAGCCTGAATTTGAACACATCCCCGAAAAGGGTATAATTAGATAGCTCGTAGTCTTCACCTTGACATGTGGTGCATAGAAATAATGGTATAGAATGGATACCTTGTGGTGATTACTGACTGCTCAGCGCTCAAATAGTCGCAGGTCATTATCCAGTCCCAAAAATGCACAACTTTACATCATCTTTGGAAGATTCAATGGTTTTCAGTAATACTGGTCTGGCACATGCTTACAACCCGATCCCCATACACCCTGATGATGTCCCGAAGACGGCAGTCATACCTTTCGGTTTAATCAGCGCCACACAGACACTTCAGCGTTTCATCCATGCCGTCTTGCGTGGACTAGAATTTTCCTATACCTTTCTGGTTCATACTCTGGTAGCCAGTCCAGTAAAGAGACTCATTATGCTCATCTGCAACAAGTTTTCCACCATCTTTCAAAACTCTTGGAAACAGTCAATCAAGCCAAATACCAGATTGGTGTTCAATCCCTGACTTTCCTCTGACATAGAATTCTTCCTTTGCCTGAAAAGGTACAAGTAATCCAAAACTTCCCAGTGTCAACATTCCTGAAATCACTGCACACATTCCTCGGCATGTTGAGTTTCGACCGTCGTTTTGTTCCTCCAGCACGCGCATACTCTGTTAACACTGACTAATCCTATAAAAAGCAAGTGTAGAGAGCTAACGCCTACCCCTGAAGAAATGGAAGACACTGGGCAAGTCAAGATGGTTATTGTATGCGCCACCATGTTAGTGCATCCGGGAATTAAGCTTCCCCTCAGCATTTCAGTCGATGCATCTAACACGCATATAGGAGCTATCGTACAACAACTCATGAATAATACATGGACACCTCTAGCTTTCTTTCCCAGATAACTGTATGCACTTGAAATGTGATATGGCACTTTTGGTCGCGAATTCCTTGCCATTTATGTTTCCATCAAGCACTGTCTTCAATTTGATGTTCATCGATTTACTGTCTATGGGAACCAAAAACCTCTGATTTATGCCCTTCATACAACTACGGATAGATTACGTGGATTACGTCGCTGAGACTACGCTTCACAATTCATGTTAGAAATCCGGCATGTTACTGACGCCAATAACCCGGTGGTAAATGTAATGTCGCGAATTTGCACCATCAAAGTTCCTCCAACCATTGGAATGCAAAAAATGGCGGAGCTCCAGTCATCCAAGTGAAGTATAGATAAAGTTTACCATATCACCCTTATGAAGATACAGCGTGTGTCTCTTTCCAGTAGTGAGGATACCATTCTTTGCGACGTGCCTAAAGGTAACCCAAGACCTGTTGTTTTTCACACTCTTCTCCGTGCAGTATTGAATTTCCAAACAACCTTTCACACACTGGAATATTGCTACCGGCAAGCTGATATCACCTAGATTTGTCTCGCCTGGCATTAGTCCAAATGCGCATAACTGGACATTTTCTTGAATACACTAACAACGCTCCAGAGTTCATAAGCACAATGTCACTCCGATTGAATCATTTGCCAAACCTGCCGAACATTTTAGCCACCTTCATCTAGATATCGTGGGTCCAATACCTCGTTCAAATAGCCACTCGCACTTACTTACATATGCAGATCGCCTTATTGATTGGTCAGAATCTACCCCCAATTTAGAAACAACAGCTGAAACAATCTGCCGAGTATTCGTGGAAATACTGGATGCACAATTTGAATGCCCTATCATGGTGACAACTGACCGAGGACCGAAATTTGAATCTGTAGCATTCAAAATTTTTGGAATAGTTGAGGTGCAAGGTCTTTCAAACTGCGGCATAACACCCATCACCAGTGGACTGACAGAGCGTTTTCATCAACAGATGTCACACAAGAATCACTACTATTAGGCTTGAAATTGTTGGCAAAATTTTGGATTATGGTGGAGTACTGAATCGAAGTGTGGGGGATTGAATATACAGAACTGAGAGAGGGTTTATGAGTGACAGTGCCAGGAGTGGTGCGGTAGAGTCAGCCGACTCATGCTTGCTAGCATCCACCAGCAACTGATAGTGTTGCAAGAGCCACATATCAATAAAGCCAGTGGGTACATCAGACACGATGGAAACTCAGAAGAAAGAACGGCGGAGTCCAATATTTGTGTCTAAAAACCTTCCAACACATGTTGCAATAGACGAACCATTTGTTGCGCGTAGCTGCAGAGATATTGACCACAGACACTCTTCTGTTGTAGGTTGGATGACGCTAGTTTAGAGTCCGAGGGTGTTGAGTTTCGCGGATAGTGCGATGTATACTTGTGGCGGACCTTAGACTTAGACGTAGTCGGGTGCTGTAGCACCACAAACACAGGATCCGGGGAATCTGGCAAGGTAAATGGGAACATTTGTCCTCGCACCTGGAGGTCTCATAACCAATAATATGCCGGTCAGAGCTGTAATCCAGTTGAGGGAACCGTACTTCTGGGCCATTCTGTGTAAATTACCTTCGAATAAACATAAGGCCCTTCACTTCTCTGGGGAACATGGACTGAGGTATGCAGCTTGACCAAATGAGAAGACCAGAGAGTTATAATCCTTATAGAATCCCGACTAACATTTGGAGCCCGAGACAAATTGGTTAATTGACAAAACTTCCAACTACACTGGGCAGCACCAAATGCAAAAATCATGGTAATGTATCATGCGAGGTTATACTCAACAAGCCAAAACGTCAGAAATAAGATATAGTAGACCTGACTATTAAGAAGATGACTTCCGCACGGAGAAATGAGCGTATGAGCAATAGCAGTCTCAGCTCCTAATAGTAACTGAATTTAACGCCTCATCAATCAAGTTGAGAAACCTAATAACTGTATCAGTGAACAACAACTTCTTACACAAGCTGATGGAATCTTCCATACCATAAGCCCCTTTTCCGGGCTACTCCTCAATCATGTACTTGGATTTCTTCTGCTTTGAAGAGATAGACTACAGTTCCAATCTCCGCAACTGTAGGGAGGTAGAAAACAATATTAGGCCGTCCATTTTAAATGAATAAATAAAAACAGCAGTGATATGAAGTTTCACACAATGTTAACTACTCCAAAATTGTTAATATTATTTTTGAAGTATTGTCATCCTTCATCACAATCTCCAGAAACTAGTAGCATAGTATGTGTGCAATTAGGTGAATACAGAGGATTTTTATGTCATTCTCTACTACCAATAATATATTTCACAAATTAGAACAAGTGTAAACATTCACCACAGAATAAATTTACTATATGACGCAACTATTTCCCACATTAGTGTCCAAGTTATTTTGTTAAACCAAATGTGTGTTTTGATGACTTAATAAGTTGTATAATTACGTCGGATACTATTGTTCTTACAAAAAATTACTTTTACCGTATTATTGCTTTTAATCTACATGAACAACTTATTATTGTCGTCGTGTGTTTGTACACATAATTGAAGAATACCTTTGTAGGTCACCCTAAATACACGTCGTCGCGGCAGTCTTGGATATTTGTTGATTAGTTGGTTTTCAAGTTTCCGTGAGTTGTTTGTGTTCCTGTACATTCTCACTTATGTTCATTTGTTTGAGCGTAAGAAATTTTAATGGGTTAGAGATTTAATGATACCATTCAAGGAAAGGTGTTTCTCACTATAATGTTAAGGAATCCCAATCCAAAATGTATATTGCAACATTTGCACTCTTCAGATAATTCACATTTGCTATTAGCAGTCTGTGACCTATTCAGTTACCAGTCCATCCCAACGTTTTTTCTGTTCCCATATTTTCAGCGTTTTCAGCCTTTTAAAGCAAATTTGGGGCATAAGTACAAAATACCGATATTTTAATGTATTTCCGTAGAATTTTTGAGTTAATTTAACCCAGAATAATTCCTTCCCCTGAAAATTGCTGTATAGGTTTTAACTTGGGATGGTTGGGCATGGCTGACTGCTAAAAGTACCCGGGATTAATATCTAGCTTGAATAGATAGTTAACATTCCATCCTGACTAAAATATCGTATCTGCCTCCTACTCACGTTCCCCTTCAGTCTAGTTGGTGATAAGAAGTAATTTATGGTTACTTTTAATCCATCACGTAGTTGTGTTTTTAAGTATGGGATGAGCCGAACAAGGGATTAATAATCCACCTATTAAATATTCGAAGTAGCTTCATGTCACCCTTTCTTTTTCTCAGAGAAGCTTTTTAAATTGAGTTGATATGCCTGACCAGAAATAGAGTGGTTTGCACTAATTTGGCTATCTGAGCTGTATCCAACAGGAAAGACTACTAATAAGCTCAACCCAAAACCTTAGAAACGGTTGTCCAGTGTTTCGATAAATTTGATATGACTGGTAAGCACTGCTGATTGACATCAGCCATTTCAAACTACTTCTCAAATATATGAAGTAGTCAACGTTTTCGACTATTTCACTCTCTAATCTGCAGCATAATGTTACACTTGACAGGGACGAAGTGTGTAGCGAACACCTTCATTCAGAGAGTTCTTCCCTCTTGACCCTTTGTATGTATTTTTCTTTCCTTCAGGTTCCCCAGTGGAACATATGGCTTCAAGCTATTGGCTAGAAGTTTCTTTAGCAGTGTTTATTTTACGGGATCGGGTTGCTAGCCTCATGCCCAACCTTTCCTCTTCACCAGCATTATTTCTGGCTTAACAAAGTAAAGGAGTGCGCCGGCCAGGGATCGAACCCCGGACCATGTGCATGGTCGGCGAGCGTCCTAACCGCTGTGCCACCGACGCACTCTGTATGTATTTAGATAACTGATATTTAAGTATTCAGAGTCAGTACAACTCCGTTTGTTGGCTTTCTTTTAAACATTTCATATCGTTTTTTATTCCTCAGGTTCTATGTGGAACACAGGGCTTCGACGACACATGTCCACTGCACTCAGTCCTCTGTCTCTTAGTTGACTCCACGACTGCCCACAGATTTCATTCCCCTTTCATATGATTTCTATCTTACACTCGAACCCATACACAATTCGTCGTTTCTTATATGAGTTCCACTCGAGATCATATTTGGCGTGCAATTTTACTTCAAGATCTATCTACCCAACATATGTCCAAGCCATCTGCTTCTCTATATTTGTAGAGTTCGCTACCAGAGCACCTCGTTACTTACCCTTTAGGGATATTTAATGTTCAGTATCGACAGAAGCCAGTTGTTTGTGAAAGTCTGCTGCTTATTCAGAAGGATATCTCGTAATATTATTACGAAAGAGAATTATAGGGTAGTGACTTATGGTATCTCGATAAAACCTTCGTACAATTGGATGAGGACATCACGCCTCAATTATATTAGATGTGTTAGAATAGCTTCATATTGTTACTACGATTATTCCCTTGAGTCCTGCTTGGAACATGGGGCTTCAACAACACATCCCCACCATCTATTTTCTGCTATCCTTTTCATCTGGCCCACGATCATCCATAATCTCTCATACCTTCCTTGCACGATCTCCTCCATGTCACCCTCGCACCAATGCAATGCATGCTTTCCAATTTTTGGTTGCCACATTGTGGCATAATATGTGCGTCGGTGGCACAGTGGTTAGGACTCTCGCCGACCATGCACATGGTCCGAGGTTCGAGCCCCTGCCGGCGCACACCCGATATCTATGGTCGGCCTGCAAAATTTGGGCTACCGATATCCATGCTGAAAATTCCATACTTGTACTGAAAATACGGTGTGGCATCAAGCTCTAACCAAAATAAATAAAATTTTAAAAAAATAAAAAAACAGCACACTCGTCGTTTCCCATTGGGATTCCACTCGAGCGATGGCCTTCATTGTGCGCGATGTCATTCGATGGTTTCCTCAATCTAGACTCTATCAATCTCCATTTTCTCCTACATATTTGCTGAGCAATCCGCTTTCGGTTGGTTTGTCACCAGTCAGAGTTTCTTGTTGTTAATTCATTCTGACTGTCCATTTCATCTGCAGTATGGAGTCAGCGAAGACAGCTGTTGATGAAAGTCTGCAGTGGCCTGTTGGAATTCCCTTTCGTGACGCACATAGAAGAACCGACTTGACATTGGTGTTGAAAATGTGAATCTTGTTCTTTATGCTGACTGGGTGCAGAAGACTTCCAAACTAATTTCAGGTTGATGAAGGCATATATTGCTTCTCCGATTCTGTCTGGCTTTGATATCTTCATTCGTCCCGACTGCGTGTAGTTGAAACGATGCTGGCTGCCTAGATAAGTGAAGGATGTAACTGCTGTCAAATCTTTCCCGTTCATGGTGATTGGTTGTTGTTGTGGTTACGGTTCGTTGTTTATCTTCATCACCTCCGACTTTCCTGTGTTCACCTGCAATACTGTCTTCGCTGCCAGCCTCTTCAGCCAGTTTGTTGGTTCTCGCCTGCAAGTCTTCGAGTTTGTGTGACACTAGATATGGATAATCAACACGCGAAATCCAGATCTTCTAGACATTTCTTACTGGTCGTCCAGAGTATTCTTGTCTCCTGGCTCCCGACTCAGTCTGACGCATAATCCAGTCCACCACAATTAGGAATATCATCGGTGATAATAGTCAGTCTTCATTTTCTTAATCCTGTCATCTTCACTTCGAATGCCTAGCTGAGCTTTCCGTTGTGGATCATCTGACACGTTCCATTGTCATATAGCTAGCTGTTCCATGAAGTTGATAAAGACTTGGACACTGTACGCCGTAGTGTTGAAGCTGTTTCCGAATTACTTCTCAGTCAACGCTGTCTGTCGAAGGCCTTTTCAAAGTCGATCAAGTTGATGTGGAGTGAGGTATGGCTACCATTCTATGCTTTGTTGTGTGATGACGATGCGCAGAGTTGCAATTTGATCAGCACATGATTTGTCTTTCCTGAACTCAGCTTGTTCAGGCGGAGGTCTGTATCCTGTGCATCTTTTATTCTCTCCAACATGACGCGACTCAGTACTTCACTTGACGTGGACAACAGCATGATTCCACACCAGTTCTTGCACAGGCTTAAGTCGCCCTTCTTCGGTAGCTTGACGAGATAGCCAGCCTTCCTTCCAATCAGTAGGCACATTTCCTTCCTCCCAAACCTTCTGTAATAACGGTGTCAGCATATCTGCTGTAGTCTCTGGATCCGCTTCCAGTGCTTCGAAGGAATTCCATCTGGCCCTGCTGCCTTACCGACTGAACTTCCGTAGCTTGATCACATTTACGATTTATGCTTTCGTTGAAGGACTGGTGTCCACTGGAAGGCAGTTCTGTGCCTGCTGTTTGTGATAGGGGTATTTTTGGGCGAGATGTGGGTGGTGGTCGATTTAAGAGTCCTCTGAAGTGATCACCCCATTGTTTAATTTGTTTCTTCTCCTTGGTGATGAGCTTCCCTTGAACATCTTTTATAGGTTTCACCTGCGTTGATCTCTTCCTGGATAGAGACCTGGTTATCTGATTTGATATGCTGTGGTCTCTTTTACCTGTGGCCTGTTCCGCTTCGGTTGCCGGACAGTGTGTCGTAGAATTGTCTTTTGTCTTTCCTCGCACTCTTCTTCACTCCTACATTCAGTGCGATGTACATTGAACTTAGCTTCTCCTTCTCTTGGCCATCTTTCCATTGAGTCACACTGTCTTTCACCAACCTCCTCTTTTCTATTAGCTTCCAGGTCGGTGTCCGTTGAGAGTCATTCCTTGTCTTGTCTCTTCTTTCCTCCTAGAACAGTTGTACACGTTTCCTTGAACATCATCTTCAGAGAGTTCTTCCACGCAGTGTCTCCGACTTTGCTCTGATCTATAGTGAAGGTATCCCTTGTGTCTTTGTCCTTCACTTTTCGAGTGGTGAGCTTGCATTGTGGCCTGTCTTCAGTTGTCTTGAAGAAATTCAGCTTGACCTTGAGCTAGATGATGGTCTCAGCCCATATTTGCTCGCCTTCTCGACTTTGTGTCCAGCAGACTGGCTGCGCCTGCACTTCCTTGAGCGACACAGGGATGATATCTGTCTGGATTTCGGTGTGTCTGTCAGATGAAATCCATGTCGTCTTGTGTATATCCTTGTTCATGTTGCCTCCGATAGCCAAATCATTGAAAGCGGTGAAGTCTGTGGAGAGTTTTGCTTGTTATGATTTCTTTCAGAAAACGTGGTTTGATTATAGTCATTTAGAACGATTTTTTGCATATGTACTGTGAATGAACTAGTTCTTGTCATCAAGATCCCGAAATCCTGTACTGATATTAATTTAAATAATCTCTGTCATACATCTTCGTCCACCACAGTGTCGTTACCTTTCTTTCTTCAGAATTTCACTGTATTCTGAAAGGTGGCTACAACCTTATGTAGTTCTGCTTTGTCGAGTCATTCAGTCACATCTATGTTTCACAGACAATTTTTCTTCCGTAGTTACAGATTTTAGTCTTCATGTAAGAGGTGTTAACAATGACGAATAATAAAATGCTACTTGTCTTTAACATTCTTCGTAAATCCATATCTCATTATGACTAATTTTTCTTTGAATTTACTATTTCTTTATAGATTCTAATGATGCAGTATTTATTCAAATATTCTATCGTATTTATCATTTTCTCACTTGAATTTCTCCTGGGTAAAAGTGACGATAAGCGGAATTATTACGAAATCCTCGGGTTAACTAAATCTGCTTCAACAAGTGATATTAAAAAGGCCTTTCGCAAACTTGCAGTAAAATACCACCCTGATAAAAATAAAGATAAGGGTGCACAAGAAGAGTTTGTGAAAATTGCTGAAGGTAAGCTGTACTGTTGTGTTGTTACGACAACTCATGTACTGTACTTTTACTATTAGATGACTTATGCATGATCTTTCTCACTTAGTTAACGACCCTAGATAGTCAGGGTTTTAATTATTTGCTCAGCTGCTATCTTAACGTCTGTTTGCCTATTACTATAGCTTAAAAAATAAGTCATTTAGTACAGTTCGTCGAGGTCTTATTATAGCAGCGATGTTAGTTAAGTGGGTTAGACAATGAGAGCAACTGTTATCTAGATTGGAAGATTAGTGGCAGGTTGAAAACAAATATAAGTACTACTGGCTAGGTGCGAATATGCTAATATTTAAAAGTTTCTCTCGCATGATTGGCATGTCAACTGTACTTGTTCACCTTCGAAAGTAAGAGTTAATAAGATTAGACTCTGAAAATTGTTTTTCCGCTTGACGAACAACTTCCTACCTTGGGTCTTAAGGTTCAAGAAACGAATCTAGCTCAATAAAGATCAGTAAAACTGTGGCTTAGATATCTGAGTCGTTTCTGCACTATATCCAAATGACGTTTCTAGACGTCGCGTCTCCGCCTACTACATGAGTCGAGAATTTGATGCCTAGCTTAACTTAAAATAGGCCCGTCATTGTATGACACTTATTTAACCTGGTTTTTATACTGATTATAAAAACTAATTTTGGTATAATACTTGCACGTTTAGGTATAAAAAGAGAATTTACTTGCTACTTCAGGTAATAATTGCAACTTAAACATTCCCATTGAGTCATATGAAACAAAAGACGTTCAGTAAATAATTACTCTGTTCTGACTGGTTCTCGTAGGTCTACTAACCATTTGGCAGTGCGGTGATAAGGTGAATTAGTCATATCAACTATGTGTCTGAGAGGTATGTCCTTGTGCGTTAGGTGGTATAATAAGGTAAGTAATGTTGACGTTAGGCGTAGAGTGTTGGGCAAAGAGGGAAAATCAATCGAAGAGGCTATAAAGTTACATAGATTAGGATGGTTAGGTCACGTGCTGCGCATGCCTAGCCATCGCCTCCCACGACGGTCATTACTAGCTGATATAGGTACAGGTTGGAAAAGAGTAAGTGGTGGCCAAACAAAAACATGGCATCAATCCATGAAATCCCTGACAGTTAAACTGAGTCAGGTAGGGAGATGCAGACTTCCGGGTTGGGGCCCGCCCTCGGGACTCTAAGAATCAATGGCTGGAGACAATAGGTGACATGGCTCAAAATCGTTGTCAATGGCTTACGCAGATGTATTCAGTCTCTGTAATCTTTCATATTCCTTTCTACCATTACCCATTCCGTTTCACTCTTATACCTGTCAAAACTCTATTGATTCTCTTCACTCATTTTCTTGTCCATCTTTGTGTGCTATTTGGACCGTGGCAACTCGAACTGCTGCACTTCCAGACAGACAGATGTCCTTGTGCAATTTCGGTAGTCCATAAAGTCGGGGTGTAATTGGGCCAGATAGCCTAAGTGATTCGGTTTCAGCGTCAATGAATGATTCAGTTTTTAGTTTTCGGAAATTGTTTGTTAGTTTTTGTTTAGTTGGCTCCGTCATATTCTTTTCATTGAACCTAAAGGTCCAATTCTCTTTTACTAACGAAATGTACCGACAAAAAGATGGTATAGCTATCGGTTCACTAATTGGCCGGTTGCCTTCAGACTTTTTCATGTCAAAACTAGAAAACATCTTTAAAAAAATGATTGACAACTTTGGGTTATACAAGAGATTCGTGGACGACACTTTCATTATCTCCACCAATGAGGAGAATTTGGAGAGTATCTTAGACTTCCTCAGCAGCTGCCATCCAGCAATTCAGTACACACTGGAAAAGGAATCCGACACAAAAGTATCCTTTCTGGACGTCCAATTAACACGACGTGAACAAGATGGCAAAAGCTGTGAAAATGAAAACGACCATATTTACCAGTTATCTGTCGGTTTAATTGATAATCGTAATTAGTATAAAATAAATTTTGACTGATCTATATCTGAACCTACTTAGGAAACCGTTACTTGAGGTCCGTGATACTTTTGGTCTTCTGGACTGGTATTATTGCAAGTGTCCACGTTCAAAATTAAAATGAAGTTCTGGTCGGTAGCAGAATTTGAACCAGCCTCATTTAGCTTTCTTGCTTATTTCATTGTTTAGTGATATACTTGAACAGGCTACTCACTCTGGTAAAGCATTAAGCTAGCAGCCTAAAGATCCCTGTTATTTGAAACGGATTTTTTATTGCAAATTATTATTGTTTAACCTTATGCTTAATTTATTTCAGCTTATGATGTACTATCTGATGAAGAAAAACGCAGGCAGTACGATAATGTTGGGCATGGGTTTTACACACAACAGTCTCGTGGTGGTGGCTCTCCAGATTTCGACTTCAATAGCTTCTTTCACAACTTTGATATGTTTCGTCAACACAGACGTACTGATAACTTTGGTGGTGGTTCATTCTTTAACTTCCACGATTTATTTGAAGATGATGACGACAACATATTCTCATCATTTGGTAGTATGTTCCAGGGATCTGATGATTCTGGTGTACACAAGCGTCGAGGTAGGTTTTGTAAAAAACCGTAGTTACCGTTTTTCTCTTGAAATTATAGTAGGGATATGAGGTGCAGATCTTCGGATGGCACCTATAAATTCTGGCTGCGAAACACTGAAGCTCCACATAGTTAGATATTAGTTCCTTCGTAATACCGCTGGTATTTATTTGCTTCACTCTGTGAACGATGTAAAAGCTGCAGTGTATATTTTAAGGTGAAAGTAATAGCAGTTGACTGAGTTGTAAACCAGTGTCACTTCAGATAACTATGACATGTATTGTGCAGCCCTATATATATGTATATATATATATATATATATATATATATTGCATCCCTTTAAATTATTTACTTAACCCTTAAAATGTTTATTATTTCAGAAGTCTTCATCATAGGTCTGTTTAGTGTTACGAGGTTTCCTGTGCGTAGACAGAATTAGGAATGTCGAACATGAATATATAAAGTGAAAGAGGTTGCAAGTGAATTTCACTTGTCTGGATTTGAGAATTTAATTACTTTCAAAATAAATTTGACAAATAACCTATACCAAGTGGAAACAAACATGAAGTGGTTGTTGGTGTTCTTCTGTTTCGTTACCGGGTAATAAAATATATCTTGAAGAGTACTACTCGTCGCTACTTTCTTTCAGGTCCTAATCATTGAACCTTTTTTTTCTCATGCAGTTCATCTTAAGATAAAGACTACATGAAAAGAATGAAATCTCAATTGTTTTTATGACACATTGATCAGTTTGGCTACAGCTAACCTAGATGATCTGTATGTCGTTGATGATAAATCATCTTCTTATAGTTAAGATGGCATTGTCCTTCTTTAAAATTGACTAGACTCATAATTATCTATTGGCTTCAGCACTAAGCTACCAACTAATGGGCTGCGGGTTCGAATCTTGTTTCGCCTACATCAGCCTAAACGACTTGTTGATACTATCATGAGCCCACACACACATGACTCATGACCCTCGTAAATGAAAAATCTGTTCGGAGTATTTGTGTTCAAATCAAAACAAATTACTTTTACTTGAATAAAACTTTCTAGACAAAGAAATTTTTAAAACTCGTCCGTCTGTACCAAGTAACCAGCCCATGTATGTTAGGTCATCGCTTAGCTACCCTACACCATAATGCTTCTTGAACCCGTTTTTGTTTTGTAAACTTTGAATTTAATAATTGATGTACCTAGCTCTAAAGGGAATAAAAAAGAAAATTGAGAAAAAATGTTTTCTCGATAACTTCCTCAGCTGACTCTACAGTCATTATCCATAATAGTTAAGAGGTAATTGTTATCGACAGTACCATTTTTCAAACAATATGAAGCTGTTAAGATTAATACAACTATAGTTCCAAAGCATGCGTAAGAGCTAATAAGGATAAAAATGGAATAATGAATTGAATACCAGACAAAATTAATAAAATTTGCTCAACAATTAAAGACAGTTAGAACAATAATGGCAGAGGTAGGGAAGGTGTCTTCATTTACCTACCTAAGAAGCATCGTTTCAATTACAGGTGGAACCGATTAGGATATCAAAGTGAAGATCGGGAAAGCAAGGCAAGCTCAAGTATGTGTGGAGATCAACAGCACTCAGCATCAAAAATAAGATCCGGATTTTCAAGTCCAGTGTGAAGTCAGTACCATTATACGGATCAGAGACTTGGAGCGTCGCGAAGGGCACTTCGAACAAACTACAGACCTTCATCAACAGCTGTCTTCACTCAGTATTCAAGATCAGATGGCCAGAAAAGATCAGCGACAGGGATCTCTGGAAGCGAACTAACCAGGAACCGATTTTGCAACAAATATGCAGGAAGAAATGGAGGTGGATTGGCCATACTCTGCGAAAATCATCAAGTAATATCACACACCAGGCCATCTATCGAGCGGAACCCGAATGGTAAGCGGCGAGTTGATCATCCAAGGGTGACATGAAAGAGGTCATGCTAAAAGGTGAAAGCATGTGGGCAGACGTGGAGCGAGGTAAAAATGTTGGCGGTAAACTGAACGCAATGGAGACGTGCAGCTGAAGCTCTATGTTCCTTTAGGAACTAAAGGATACAATAATAGTAATAAAGGAAGGTATCTCAAGGCATAATTTAGGCATCTTAAGATTGATTCTGACAGCTTCAACTACATGTAAAGGATGAACTCTTGAGGCGATATTGGGATTATTCGGAATGCCGTAGATAGCCTTAAAATCCTTGTTAGCATCAATTTTGTGTTTAATATTTACAACATGAGTTAAAACAAAGCTGTGAATAGACCTTGTTTGTCCCTTGCTTAGTCACATAGCATAATGTTCAGAAATCCAACGATGAACATTCCTAATTATGAGCCCAATGTAACTGGTTCCACAGGAGCAATCAAAGTGGTAGATCGCATAAAGGGAGCGAATTTAGGTAGTTTAACCCTAACTCCCAAACGTAAAATTGGGTTGGTTGTAAACAGACAGTGAACTTCTGCTGCATTGAATACTTTTTTTTACTGCATTATCTGTTTGAATGTAGAAGTTCTCCTTTACAAAATAAAACACTTGTTAATTTCTCCTTATAGGTCAACAAACATGTCACACTGAAACTATAAGAAGAGGTAATACAGTGATTACTCGAACACATTGCTCTTAAATTTCTTCCCTAACATCCTGGCGAAATTCATTTACATGTTGTGAAATATCTGAACTGTTTTTAACCAGATGAGACGCTCGCCTATTCATCATTTTTATTTTATGAAATGCTCACCATAATATCACTTCCTTTCTTCATGTACAGTCTGTGATCATCATCTATTTAATTCACTCCACAATGTACATAGGAGTGTTTTGTTTGGGTCTGTTCAGCTGACACTGGTGCATATGCATAGAATACATTGAATATTTTTGTGTTTAACAAAGAATATGAGTGAAGGTTTTTTTTAAAAAAAAGAGAAGTTTTACACCTTCGCTTTGTTCACTGCTTAAAGTAATCGGATGCTGACAACAAATGTATGGTCAAGTGGGATGTATGTATGTATGAATGTCCACCTGATGTAATATTACAGCTAATTTACCGTTGTCTTTCTTCTTTTGGTTTATTCATAATTTTTAAAAGAAACTCAAATATAGTTCCTACCTTTTTTGTCTTCCTTATGTTTGCATTTCTGGGAAGGAAATATATCTCGAAATTACCTAAGTTAAAATTATTGGACTATTGAGTGCTTTCCCAGTGACTGAATCGTCAGCCAGCTCGCCTTGTAACCTGAATGTCCTGGGTTCGATCCCTGGCGGTGGGGTCATGCGCGCATGCTACCGAAGATTGTCAAATAAGGATAAGATAGCTGTCCACTAACCCGTGCTGGCTTTTAATGATTCTGTAACTGAAGTCATTTCGTGACCCAACTTAAAACAACGTAGAAGTTTTGAAATTTTGACCGCTGGTTTATTTTTCAGATGTTAATTTTGTGATTTCAATGTAAACTGACTGACAGGCCACATCAATCAGAGAAAGCCATTGAGACGGAGGATCGCTAGTTCAGTTTTGGGACTTGTCAGGAGTCATAGTTGTGTGAGAAAACCAGCTGAGACATGTCAAGTCTTGAGAGAAACACATTACCATATGAGGTCATTAAGTCTGAATCCAGTAACCAATGATTTTCAGTCCCTGTAAATTCTCGATATAGTACCGATGAAGCTGTAATGAATGCCGATCATATCTTTGTTATGAAGTAATAATCTATAAGCAAGTGACTGTGTTGATCACTTCACTTATTTGGGAAGTTGCATAAGCCAGTGCCAACGGGTTGACGAAATCTCAGTACGGATACGGAAGGTTCGTTTTGCATATGCCAGTTTACGCCGTCTTTGGCTTAGGCGTGATATCCGACTGTCGACCAAAGGGCGTGTGTACTGCTCAGCATTCCGCGCTGTTCTCCTTTATGGCTGTGAGACCTGGCCATTGAGAGTGGAAGACGTGAAAAGACTAGCTGTCTTTGATCATAGGTGCCTATGTTCTATCTCCCGGGTGAAGTGGTATAATAGGATGAGGTTAGGCGTCGATTGCTAGGTAAGGAGGAGAAATTAGTAAACGAGGCTGTGAAGTTACATCGACTGAGATGGTTAGGACATGTGTTACGTACGCCTAGCCATCGCCTTCCTCCACTACGGGCGATTTTTGCTTACATATGATCGGGCTGGAAAAGAGCCATTGATGATCAAACCAAAAGATGGTATCAGTCAGTGAAATCCACAACAGTTGGTTGAAGCCATGTAGGAAGGTGCAGACTTCCTGGTTGGGGTCCTCAGGACAGTAAAATCCAATGGCTGAAGACAATCGGTGATATGACTCAAAATCGCTCTCAATGGCGCAGATGCATCCACTCCATTGACTTATAATATCCAACAAAACTAAGTTGTTCTTCGATATTACTATTCTTTTCGCCTTACATCTCCGTTTACTGTCTCTACTTTGCATTTCTTTTTACTTTCTTCTCTGCCTTTGTGTGCTACTTGGAGTGTGGCCACTCGCAATGCTGCACTTCGGTGCAACATTTCTATGTTGAAACCAGTTAGTCAGTCAAGTGACTGAAGTGATCAGGTGTAAGCAGTATAATAGAGTACACTATGATCGAGTTATATATAGTCGAGACTAAATATGTTGATTATCTGTGCTCTAATTATAATTATTTCCAACACTAAAAGTGAGCAGTTATCCATAAATCACGAAAAATACCCATTTATTCATAATTAAAAAACAGTTTTTTTCTTCAGCGAAAAAATTTCTTTTCAATGACTTCATTTTCAAGCTGTACAGTCGTATTTATATTACAGAAATAGTTATTGAGTGGCACTAAATAATTGCTCAGTCAATATACATATATATGTGATAAGAATAACGATAATTAATATAAATACGACTGTACAGCTTGAAAATGAAGTCGTTGAAAAGAAATTTCTTCGCTGAACAAAAAAATTTTTTTAATTATCCATAAGACCGACAGAGTTGTTACATACTCTCTTTCACTACTTACTCAATAAAGCGATATCGCCATCTATCCCAGAATGGAATAAAAATAAGACTGGTTTCAGTTTTTTTTTCAAATAAAGATTAGGCGTATATTAATACTGGGGATTTAGTGATGCAGTAGAGACTCAATCTTGATTTGGAAAAATTAACAGATCCCTAAAGCTATAAATTGGCGTCGAGAACTCCAATGAATTATAATTTCACAACAATGAACTCTTGGATAAAGATTACTCCCCAGTAGGTTTAAATTTCCAAGTGATATATTTTCAAAAGGTTGCTCATAGTTGGATAAAACAGAAAAGGATAAATCAGTTTCTAAACAACCAATTAAGATATGTAGTATTGATAAGAGATTTCTGAGCTGCCAATAACACATTAGAAGCATATCAAGTTAATCTATTTTATTCCCTACTCTCTGAAGCCAACCTCGGCTAGTTTGCTAGCTCGCCAGTTATCTAGCCTGTCCCCATCCTTGAAAAAGAGAAACGGTTAGGCATGGGACTAGCGGCTCAACCAATCAAACTACTACAGAAACTTCAACGCACAATAAAAATATTTTGAAAAAAAAGTATTCTTCTCTGGAATCGGAGAGGAGAAATGACACAGCAGACCGGTGAAAGCCTTCCAGAAGCCAGTCAGCTGAAGTATCTTCTCTCGATGAAAGCAAGAGTAAGAATAGGGATGTGGAATGTACGAGGCTGGGAAGGTTGCCCACGTAGCCAACGAAATGAGAAGATATGGCATAGAAGTTCTGGGAATTTGTGACAGCAGATGGGATGGATGCGGATTATCAGAATTGTCAACTAGACAGTCAATAATCTACTCCAGTCACTCAGACGAAAACCTTGAACACACTGAGGCAGTGAGTGGCTACCATGATGTCACCAGTGGCACCTAAAGCCATAATGCAGTAGGAACCAATTTCATTGAGGATTATGACAACAAGATTCAGCTCAAAAGGAAGGGAGTTTAAAATTATCCAATGCTTCAAAAAAGATGAACAAGACAAGAAAGAAGACTTTTATAGACAACTACAAACAGTAATGGACAACATTTCGAATGGCGACATCAAAATCCTTATGAACGATATGAATGCTGGAGGAACTGAAAGTAGGTAATACAGGAAGAGAACTCATAACGAGTCGAGAGGCTCTCACTCGGCGAAATGAATGACAACCGAGAACTCTTCGCAGACTTATGCGCTTTCAATGATTCGGCGATCGGAGGCAACATGAACAAGGATATACACAAAACGACATGGATTTCGTCTGACAGACACCAAAATCCACACAGATTTCATCTCAGTGTCGCTCAAGGAAGTGCAGGCGCAGCCAGTCTGCTGGACACAAAGGCGAGCAGATGTGGGCTCAGACCATCATCTAGTTCAAGGTGAAGCTGAATCCCTTCAAGACAACTGAAGACAGGCCACAATTCACGCTCACCACTCGGAAAGTGGAGGACAAAACCACAAGGGATACCTTCACTATAGATCAGAACAAAGTCGGAGAAACTGCGTGGACGAACATTGGAACTAATTCTCTGAAGATGATGTTCAAGGAAACGTGTACAACTGTTCTGGGAAGAAAGAAGAGACAAGACAAGGAATGACTCTCAACGGACACCGACCTGGAAGCTAATAGAAAAGAGGAGGTTGGTGAAAGACACTATGACTCAATGGAAAGATGGCCAAGAGAAGGAGAAGCTAAGTTCAATGTACACCGCACTGAATGTAGGAGTGAAGAAGAGTGCGAGGAAAGAGAAAAGACAATTCTACGACACACTGTCCGGCAACCGAAGCGGAACAGGCCACAGGTAAAAGAGACCACAGCATATCAAATCAGATAACCAGGTCTCTATCCAGGAAGAGATCGATGCAGGTGAAACCTATAAAAGATGTTCAAGGGAACCTGATCACCAAGGAGGAGAAACAAACTAAAAAATGGGGTGATCACTCCAGAGGACTCTTAAATCGACCACCACCCAGAAATACCCCTACCACAAACAGCACGCACAGAACTGCCTGCCGGTGGACACCAATCCTCCAACGAAAGCAGAAATCGTAAATGTGATCAAGCTACGGAAGTTCAGTCAGTAGGGCAGCATGGCCAGATGGAATTCCTTCGAAGCACTGGAAACGGATCCAGAGACTACGGCAGATATGCTGACACCGTTATTTTAGAAGGTTTGGGAGGAAGGAGAGGTGCCTACTGATTGGAAGGAAGGCTGGCTATCTCGTCAAGCTACCGAAGAAGGGCGACTTAAGCCTGTGCAAGAACTGGTGTGGAATCATGCTGTTGTCCACACCAAGTGAAGTACTAAGTCGTGTCATGTTGGAGAGAATGAAAGATTCACAGGATACAGAACTCCGCCTGAACAAGCTGGATTCAGGAAAGACAAATCATATGCTGATCAAATTGCAACTCTGCGCATCGTCATCACACAACAAAGCATAGAATGGTAGCCATACCTCACTCCACATCGACTTTGAAAAGGCCTTCGACAGACAGCATTGACTGAGAAGTAATTTGGAAACGGCTTCAACACTCCGGTGTACAGGGTCCAAGTCTTTATTAACTTCATGGAACAGCTGGCTATTAGACAATGGCACGCGTCAGGTAATCCACAACGGAAAACTCAGCTAGGCGTTGGGTGTGAAGATGACAGGATTAAGAAAAGGAAGACTGACTATTATCACCGATGATATTCCTAATAGTGGTGGCCTGGATTATGCGTCAGACGGTGAATCGGGAGCCAGGAGACAAGAATACTCTGGACGACCAATAAGAAGACTCTAGAAGGTCTAGATTTCGCAGATGATATATGTCTAGTGTCACACAAACTCGGAGACTTGCAGACGAGAACCAACGAAGAGGCTGGCAGCGAAGACAGGATTGCAGGTGAACACAGAGAAGTTGGAGGTGATGAAGATAAACAACGAACCGTAACCACAGTAATAACCAGCACCAATCACCATGAACGGAAGAGACTTGACAGAGGTTACCTCCCTCACTTATCTAGGCAGCCAGCATCGTTTCAACTACACGCAGTCGGAACAGATGAAGATATCAAAGCCAAACTGAATCGGAAAAGCAAGATATACCTTCATCAACCTGAAGTTAGTTTGAAGTCTTCTGCACTCAGTCAGCATAATGAAAGATTCACATTTTCAACACCAATGTCAAGTCGGTCCTTCTGTGAGTATCACGAAAAGGATTTCCAACAGGCCACTGCAGACGTTCATCAACAGCCTCATTCGCTGACTCCATACTGCA